GGCTGCAGCCCAGACAGAAATGGTTCTGAAACGGTGGCCTGAATGGCAGCAGAGGCCGTGGGGAAGGAGGGGACTGGAGCGATTCAAGGGAGATTTGCAGGTGGCGTCGCTAGGATGTGGTGAGTGCCCGGAGCGGGATGTGTACGCAGGTTTCTGGTTTGCACAAGTTCCTGGATGCTGGGCCCTTCTCTCAGCTGCGAGCAAAGCTGGGCCTGGGAGGGAGATACTGTCGCTCAGCGTTGGATGCAGAGAGCTGGGGTGGAGATGTCCCACAGNAAGGTTGCCAGGGTCGAGAGCGTAGTGTAAGGAGAGAGAAGGGTTTAGGGTCAAGCTTGGAGGAAATGTGCCTTTTAGAAGTTGGGTAGAGCAGAGATCAGGGAGACAGAGAAAACCAGAGAGCCAGGAGGAAACCAGGGGAGTATGATGCTGTGGAAAGCAAGGGAAGGGGTGTTTCTAGAAGGATGGAGTGGTCAGTAGTGTCAAAGGATGCTGAGAGGCCTGGAACTGGGGTCGGCACACTTTTTCTGTGAGGGGCCAGAGAGTAAATACTGTCAGCTNCTCTTCAGCCCTGCCTCTGCAGCATGAAAGCAGCCACAGACGGCACCTCATCCAATGGCACAGCTGTGCTCCAATCAAACGTGATTTACGAAAACAGGCAGTAGCCAGATTCGGCCCGTGGGCTGTAGTTCGCTGATCCAGTCCTGGAAGATGAGGACTGAGCAAAGGCCATGGCCTGAGCTGCGCGGGGTCTCCAGGTGGACAGAGGGGCGTGAGGCTGAGCGGAGGGAAGAGATAGGCCGGTGGCTGGAGGGGAGGTGGGGCGGGAAGTGACACACTTAAGGCTGATGGGAAGGAGCCATGAGAAAGGGGGAGGTGGCAGGGACAGGAGAGAGGAAGGGACCTGTAAGAGTGAGGGCCTGAGGAGGCGGGGGGTCTGGGACCGAGGCGGCCGCTGCGCACGGAGCAGAGGACAAGGGACGGGGCGCGCCGATGTGGGGGTGCGGATGCCTTTGGGGGCGATGCGGGTGTGAACCCGGTACTGTCGTGAGGATTCAGTAAAAGTCTGACAAGTTAAGAAGCCGGAGAACATTCCGTGCCTTTGTAAAGGACTAGAATGAGTTACTCTGGAAAGAGACGCGAGGCAGCCTTTTGTGGCCCGCCGAGCTGC